ATCCAACATGCTAGTTGTGCCCAAGTCATACAACGATCAAACTGGGTAAATCAGTCTGCCCATAGATGTTCGGATCCCTGCTGAACCGCCCGAGATTCAAACCATCTATTGCCGGTTTAACTGACACGGATACTAATTTTAAACAATCCTAACCCAAAAATTCTGCCCCTTATCTTGACCCTAACACTAACCCTGGCACTGACCTAGATCAAAACTTTATCTATTTTTATTATTATTATTATATTATTTATTTTATTCACAGTTTAAAAATTTTTTTTTTTTTTTTTTTACACAATTTTGTTTGTTTACATCTTTCTCTCCTGCAAGGAAATAAAGATATAATTTATCTTCCTCTTCATTCAGAAGAGAAAGAAAACACATGGGCAGGCCTCTTCACAGTGACTTGATCATTGCGATAGCCAATCAAAGGCTGTTATAGCAACCAGGTTGCAGCACAGCAAATTGGCTCCTTGTGCTGCTTCTCTCTCCCCCTAGTTTGAGCTCTGTTTCACAGGAACTGCAAAAAGCTGATATCAAATTCAGGCACTTACATTCCTTGATTCATTTTCCAGGAAATCATGTATTTCTCACGAAACGTATTGCATTAACACATGTTTTTGCTATACACATGTTTATTCCCTTTGTGTGTATTGGGACAAAACAAAAAAAGGGAGGAAAGAAAGCAAATTCGACATAATGTCACACAAACCTCCAAAAATGGGCTGGACAAAAACTATTGGCACCCTTTCACAACTGCGGATAAATAAGAATGTTACAAGCATGTGATGCTCCTGTAAACTCACCTGGGGCAAGTAACAGGTGTGGGCAATATAGAAATCACACCTGAAAGCAGATAAAAAGGAGAGACGTTCACTTAACCTTTGCATTGTGTGTCTGTCTGTGCCACACTAAGCATGGACAACAGAAAGAGGAGACGAGAACTGTCTGAGGACCTGAACCAAAATTGTGGCAAAATATCAACAATCTCAAGGTTACAAGTCCATCTCCAGAGAACTAGATTTGCCTTTGTCCACAGTGCGCAACATTATCAAGAAGTTTGCAACCCATGGCACTGTAGCTAATCTCCCTGGTCGTGGACGGATGAGGAAAATTGATGAAAGATTGCAACGCAGAATAGTCCGGATGGTGGATAAGCAGCCCCAAACATGTTCCAAAGACATTCAAGCTGTCCTGCAGGCTCAGGGAGCATCAGTGTCAGCGCGAACTATCCGTCGACATTTAAATGAAATGAAACGCTATGGCAGGAGACCCAGGAGGGACCCCACTGCTGACACAGAGACATAAAAAAGCAAGACTACAGTTTGCCAAAATGTACTTGAGTAAGCCAAAAGCCTTCTGGGAAAACGTCTTGTGGACAGATGAGACCAAGATAGAGCTTTTCGGTAAAGCACATCATTCTACTGTTTACCGAAAACGGAATGAGGCCTACAAAGAACAAAACACAGTACCTACGGTAAAATATGGTGGAGGTTCAATGATGTTTTTGGGGTTGTTTTGCTGCCTCTGGCACTGGGTGCCTTGACTGTGTGCAAGGCATCATGAAATCTGAGGATTACCAAAGGATTTTGGGTCGCACTGTAGGGCCCAGTGTCAGAAAGCTGGGTTTGCGTCCAAGATCCTGGGTCTTCCAGCAGGACAATGACCCCAAACATACGTCAAAAAGCACTCAGAAATGGATGGCAAAGAAGCGCTGGAGAGTTCTGAAGTGGCCAGCAATGAGCCCAGATCTAAATCCCATTGAACACCTGTGGAGAGATCTTAAAATTGCTGTTGGGAAAAGGTGTCCTTCCAATAAGAGAGACCTGGAGCTGTTTGCAAAGGAAGAGTGGTCCAAAATTCCGGGTGAGAGGTGTCAGAAGCTTATTGATGGTTATAGGAAGCGACTGATTTCAGTTATGTTTTCCAAAGGGTGTGCAACCAAATATTAAGTTAAGGGTGCCAATACTTTTGTCCAGCCCATTTTTGGGGTTTTGTGTGACATTATGTCATATTTGCTTTTCTGCCTCTGTTTTATATTTGTTCCAATACATACAAAGGGAATAAACATGTGTATAGCAAAACATTGTTAATGCAATACCTTTTTTGTGTGAAATACTTGATTTTCAGGAAAAATATCAAGGGTGCCAACAATTTCGGCCATGACTGTAAGTGCATTGTACATCTTCCTGGAGAACAGCTTTAAGTGTTAGGGTTAAGGTCAGGTCATCTTTTTTAAAGTTTTAATATTGTATGTAGGAGTCAATAACCAGTCCTTGAGCTTTTTTTTTTTTATATTAGGGGATTGTACTTGGATGGGGTATGGGGTGTACAGGATGCCCAGTGTAACTGTAACAGGACAATCTTTCTGAACTATGTATAAGTCTTTACACAAAAATCCTCTTCTGGAGAGCTAGCCAGAGCCTCAAAATATACCAGACCCTAGATACTCCTTTATCCAGCTGCCTGGAGGAATCCCTGAGAAGTGGATCTAGTGCCTGTCACTTTAGGAGGTAAGACAGTCCCGGGTAGTTGCTAATCTGGTTTCCCACCAGAGTGCTCCTTTCCCTATCTGGCCCAGAGAGTGTAGGTCTACTCACTCAGTCCTTCACCTGTGCTGCTGGTGGGTCGGTGGCTGCTACCAGGCCTTTTGACTGGGTCGCTCCTTCTCTGCCTAACAGGTGGTCCTCTCTCAGAGGGCCGGTGAAGTCATGTGTTTTCCAAGGTCCTTTGCCTGTAGGTGAGCCCCTCTCCATCTGGGTCCCCTTTACAGGCTCCTGACTTCAAGCCTTCCATCCTCTTCAACTTCCACCCAAACTCTCCTGCTGCTGAGCAGGCTTGGTTAATATTGAAGGCTGTCCTGGCCCCTTGCCAAGCCTCCTGTTGGGGATAGGCCAGTATCCCATAAGAGCACAGACCAGCCACTCCTCAGATCCGCCCACTGCATCTAGATCTTTCTCCAGAAAGAGCAGAGGGAAATTCCAGAGAGGTGGTCTGCAAAGCCTCTCAGCTCTGACCACAATTTGACCCTTGCCAGCTATTACACCCAGGCTGCTACTCAGCCCTAACTATCAAATTGGAGTCTAGCCTTCCCTAGCTACCTAGGAGGGTGCTACATACTTAAAGAGAACTACTTAAATGAGGTTAAAAAGCCCCTAAATTAGTATTGAGTAAAAAGAAAGGGGAGATTTTCAATTGCATAGGGAACATCTACAGATATGTACCTTTTTACATGAATTCCACCTTAACCATTTCCATACCGAGCACTTTTACCCCCTTCCTGCGCAGGCCATTTTTCAGGTTTCTGCGCTCTCACATTTTGAATGACAATTGCGCAGTCATACAACATTGTACCCAAACTAAAATTTTATCATTTTCTTCACGCAACTAGAGCTTTCTTTTGGTGGTATTTAATCACCACTGGGGTTTTAATTTTTTGCTAAATTAACAAAAAAAGACCAAAAATTTTGAAAAAAAAACACGTTTTTCTTTGTTTCTGTTATAAAAGTTTGCAAATAAATAATTGTTCTTCATAAATTTAGGCCAAGATGTATTCTGCTACATGTCTTTGGTGAAAATAACCCAAATTAGGATGTATTTTTTAGTTTGTAGGAAAGTTATAGAGTTCACAAACTATGGTATAGATCTGAAAATTGATCAATACTGAAGTACTGACGGCCAATCTAATTTCTTGAGGTCCAAGAATGTCAGAACAGTACAGATATCCTCCAAATGACCCCTTTTTGTAAAGTAGTCAGTCTGACGTATTTCATAAGAGACATGGCGAGTTTTTTGAAGTTGTATTTTTTTTTTGTCATAATTTTTTGGAAAATGAAAAAAATTAAAAAAAATATTTTCACTGTTTTTTTTTCACATACTGTCACCAGTGCAGTACAGCATCATCATATAACTGGCATTGCAGTGATCAAGGACACTGACTGGTGACAGTATGAAAAAAAAAAAAATATAATTTTTTAAAATTTATTTTATTATTTTTAATTTTTTATTAAATTTTTTTTCTTTTTTTTAAGATTTTTTTTTCATATTTCACTATGACCAAAGTAGTACAATGTTACCATAGTAACATTGTACTACTTTGGGGAAGTGATCAGTATTTTTTTTTTTTTTTGTACACAATTTGCTTATAGCAAAGAATTACTTTGCTATAGGCAAGCATTTACCTGAATGACATCGATTCATTCAGGGTTTTTTTTTTTTTGTTGTGCTTAGCTGTGATTTGGCCAAGGCTAATCACATGACACAGCTGGGCTGTGATTGGCCCAGCTTGTGCATGTGATCGCTGTGGCCATTTACAGCTAGACACTAGTATACAATGGATGGCATGAATGAAGCCATCCATTGTATACAACTGTCATGTGACCTGCTGTGGTGGTCACAGCAGGTCACATGGTACCAGAAATGGGACCGGTACTCAGATCTTTCATCGGCGGCCGTGTCCGAGGTATACGGCCGGTGACAGATCGCTCCGCGGCACGGCTCTGCAGGCACGCAAACGGCACATGCCCGGGAGGACGCCATATGGCGTCCACCCGGAACACTGATGGATTTTGCCGGCCGCCAAACGGCCATTGGCCGGGCAGCTAATGGTTAAAGGATTATTTCACCTTTACATAAAAACTTGCCTATGCAGTTAGGGGGCACCAGTAGATAGCAGCAAACTGTACAGCTTTAATTAATATGTAATAATGCAATTGCTGTAAGTGGTCTCCAAACTGTGGCCTGGGGCCTAGGGGCGGACTGACCATTTGGGAACTCTGGCACTGCCCGAGGGCCCGGGGTCAGTAGGGGGCCCCATGAGATGCCCCTGGTACCTTTCATAGGCTTTTTTGGGTGTGGTTTGAGTGTGGGTGAGGACACAGGGGCCCCATGATCCCCTATTGTCCGGGGGCCCCATAAGTTGTCAGTCCGCCCCTGACGGGGCCAGATGCGGCCCTTTGCTTGCTTTCATTCAGTCTTTGGGGCACTATTTCCTTCACTGATACCAACAACTGGGCATAATTCCCCCAACTTACACCAGTGAAAGGTGCACAACTCCTTCCAATGACACTGATGATGGGGCACAATTCCTCCCAATGACACCAATGATGGGGTCCAATGACATCAATGATGGGGCACAGTTCCTCCTGCTGACACCAAACAATGGGGCATTATTTTTTCCCACTGACATCGGGACATTTTCTACTCTTACTGGCCACAGTCGGGCCCTCCTAAAGTCTGAAGGACAATAAACTGGCCCTTTCTTTAGAAAATTTGGAGACCCCTTCTGTAGGCAATCTATGTACCTTTGGAAGCCTAGGTGAAAAACTCCCAGAGATGGCGTTCCCTTGTCCTTACATTCTGACATTTCTGTAGCACTACCCCCTTTGGAGCCTCTACATTATTTTTGGGCTCCCTGTTTTTCTAGATCCCTTTCTGAAAGCCCAACCCCTGCTGACACCACAGGATTCTTTTGACCAGATTAAATTACCACCAGAAAGCAGAGTAAACTGATATGAGGTCTATACTAACTTCAATTTCAGCTTGGTTAACCACTTCCTGACTGTCCTATAGCAGATATACTGCTACAGGGTGGCACAAGTGCGCAAAATCACGTATATATGTTATTTTGCATTTTCCCGGTAGCATGGCACGTGCTGCCATTCGCGGCTGCAGCTGTCAATCGCCGGGTCCCAGCCGGTGATTACTCGCAGGCACCCGGTGACTGGCGAGCATCTCCGATGGGGAGGAGAACTGTTTGTAAACAAAACAGTTCTCCTCCCTGTCAGCTCGTACACACTGCTTTGGATGGCTGTGCTCAAACACAAGATGGGCTCAAACACAAGTTAGTGTAAATCAATATGAAGTTTATATTGAATTTGAACGAAGCTTGATAAAAAAAACACAAAATACCATTGGCATTTGCAGCATGTATACTGTAGTTACTTTTTTTGACTTTAAGTAAAAGTAACAGCATCCACAGTAAAGTACCAATAACTGTTAGCAGGCCTGCTTTCAGAAATAATCCACTGCCTCCGATCTGAGGTGACTGTTGAATCCCCAGCAAGCAAGAACAACTAACAATAAGCAAGTAAGCTCGCTGCAGGTCCTCAGAACCTAAGGGCAAGGATTAGATTTGAAAAGAGAGAGAGCTCTCGTCTATAATCAACTAATGTCCCTTTAAGAACATTGTGGAGTCTTCTGCATGCTAGTTGGGGCCCAGTTGGTGTGACGATGATCTAAGGTGTAGATGATAGCTAATAAGTACTTCTCCTCATAATGGTGGTGAACTGCTGTAAGGAAACCCTTTAAGACACTAAACAAGGACAGATTTGACGTAGTGAAGTGTAACAATTGGCATAAGTGTCTATGGCCAAGAACAGCTCTCTCTGGTTGACAAGGGCCAAAGACAACAGTAGTAGAAATCCCGTTCAGCTGGGAAGGGTAATTTGTTACTTCAGTTGACACTGCTATACTCTGGCCTGCAGCTGTGTGTTCTGCGGTCAGCTTGGATGATGAGATTGTAATGCAAAAGTGTTCCACCGATGGCAGCTAGAAGAAATAGGCTGCAAACTGGGGTAACTATTGAAATGTCTGAAACTAGTTGCAGGTTGATAGCAGATGTGATGAAAATCACTTAGTGGGTGTATGGGACTCTCTCACCCGATCAATGGTGTCCACCAGGTCTTAGTAATTTCACTTTCTCTGCAGATGGAGGTCCCAACAGACTCTGCAGTCCTAGTTCAGATTGCCGACTGGTCTCCTGCTTACAGATTGGCAGCGTGCAAAGACTGAAAAATCAGCAGACTCATTTCGCCCTCCTCTCTCTCTGACTCGGGCTCCGTGGCCTGGTCCAATACTCCAGCCGTCAGCACACTTCCTCCTCTCTTGATCTTTCCCCTCACACTTCCTTCTCAGTTTCCTGGGCTTTGAGGTACATATGCCCTCACCCACACGCAAGCTCCTCTGGGAAATGTAGTTTCTAGATGCACTGTTCCATATGGCTGTTCTTCAACATGTGGCTGTTACTGTTCTGCAGGACACTGCCATCTTATGTTGGCTTCAACATCTTGCATTAGACATTTCTAGCAGGGTGTTACAACTACATGGTGTAGTACAGCACAGGGAGCTAATGCATTTCAGCTAAAAAGCCTTACTCATAGCAAGCAACGAGTGCATTCTATCAGTAAGGCTTTTTAGCTGAAATGCATTAGCCCCCTGTGCTGTAACTCACCATGTAGTCAGTAAATTATTTATTTTCATGAATGGTACCTGGTTGCTGGCTTTACTTTGCTGCAAAGTAAATCAGTAATGAGAAAATGATCATCTGCAGGGACACCACAGGCAGTACTTGTGAGTGGGACAAAAAAATAGGGCTGGACATTTTAGACTTAGCAGCTCTTTTTTTAAAACCAAATTACAAATAATGACAACTACTGGTTTCTTGATGTCTTTTTTAGTTATATATACTGTATATAGATCCTTCTGCTCTATAAATTCATACTCTGCACCCTGAACATCCTCCTCTCTGAATCATTCTCCTTCCCTTCTATCTACTTCCATTTCCCTCTCTGGTCACTATCATTCTTTTCTGTCAAATCCTACTCTAACTCTCGATGATTGTTCTTCTCCACATACCTCCATACCTTCTCTACTTTACTCTTCTGTCACCAAAGTCCACTGCAATACAATGTGGATCAATGCTGGGGCCAGGAGGTGTTTGTCCTTCCAGGCTCCTCCTTGTCCTCTCTCATAGGGCACTTCATTGGCTCTGTATGACTAGCATGACAGGCGGTAAGGGATGGTTTTGGCGATTGATGCAGGGCAGCAGCTGGATGCCCGGTGCTAGCAACGCTACCAAAGGCACCCCTCCCTCTACATTACACTAGTTGTGCCTGGGACATACGGCCCGGTGGCCCCAGCTCACTGGGCAAATACCCAGTGTGCCCAATGACCAGTCCAAGTCTGCTTGTGACTAATCCTTTGTCCTCTGCTTGCTTTTTTGTGCACTGCTTCCAGAGTTCAGTTGCTTTTAACACTCAAACTAACCCCTAAAATAGTGTCATAAATCTGAAGTATGGCCAAAATTTTTTTTCTACATTTGTACTGTATTGTGAGGAGGGTAATAGTGATCCTCATCCACACCCCTCCAAGGGTAGTGGGGTGCAAGCTTGGGTACCTAAAGCATAGTTTTTTGGCTTTAACATTAAATCAAATCCATAAATAACAACTGCTAAAAAAACGTGAGTGAGAAGATACGTTTCTTTAGCAAATTTTATTGTCTGTAGCTGGCAGTACAGAGAGGCAGTCAGCGTGCAAGTCTGAGTTTCCTACAAGACAGAACCCTTTATATACATCTGTGAGCAGACATTATCCAATTAACACATCTTTTAGATCACATAGATCAAAATAAATGTGTAATTTCATAGCAATTCTTTTAATTAGAAAGAAAAATTGTATAAGGGGCAAAGATACTACTATCCAAGATCTTGTCAAAACCTTGTTGTTATTGAACAATAACGAGTGTGTGGAACAATAATGAGTGAACCTACCTTGAACTACCATGTTACTGCCTTATTGGCATTCCAGAAAATAATATATATCTCATTAATTTTGACATCTGCCTTGGCACAGGGCGGAATAACCTTCTGGCCTCATATTTTATTCGAACTTCAGGGCCACAGCATCTTATGAAACTGATAAGGGAGGAAGGGGTAGGTGTCTTAATGTCAAATGGTGACTGTTCATTGGCTAACTTTCCCTTACAATGAGTCACTTGGAGGCGCAGACGTGTAGAAATGCGTACAAGCTAATTATTTTAGAGTCTTCATAGCTCAAGGACAATAGATAACATAAAAGAGAACAAGGCAAGGATATTTGTGAAGCTGATAAGAAACCTGTTGCTTAAAGATTTTGTTGTATTACTCTACAGGAAATCAAGTGATATTCATTGTTAGATTATAAATTACTATACTATAAATACAATTTTATGTATAATATTAAAGTAGAATTAAAAATGCTACTAGGTTGGTTTTCATTACAGATGAGACTCCTCTGACATAAAAGTTTTTGCCTTACCTGCTTTTAGTGATGAATAAATCTGCTTGGGTTTCAAATTGCGGGTGAGTTATTGACACCCTAGGCGCAAACGCTAGGCGCAAACACAGTGCGTTTGCCTGCACTGTGTCCAGTTTGGCTCAAAAAAAGGTGCCAGCACGTTTTTTTTGTGCTATGCTGTGTGATTTGAGCCCATTCAAAATGAATGGGCTCAAATTACACCACACAGAAACGCATGTGAATTGCAAGCTATAGTGTAAACCCAGCCTTAAGAAGAAAAAAAATACCATTTGCCACTAAATTACATTTACCTGCAGTTTTTTTTGTACAAAGCGGCATGGGGACCACACAATATTTTCATTGCTGGCTGCAAAATGACATTTCCCGCTCACCAACTGTATGGCCATAAATGTAAACCCCATCCGTAACTGCTAGCAATTTTCTGCTGATTGCATTGCATGCCTGCCTCATCATGTGTGCTTTACCAGTGGCATATCTTCCTAGTAATATTTGCTTTACCAGTGGCATGTCTTCCTAGTAATATTTGCTTTACCAGTGGCATGCCTGCCCCTTCATGTATGCTTCATCAGTGGTGTGCCTATTTTGTCTTGTATGTGTAGTGCATCTCCTAAGGAGCCACTTGTGAATTTTGGTCCTATTGCCCCCCTTAGAGCACACACAGCCAGGCACACCTCATTTGCTGCACTCTTACACTGGCTCCAAAGAACAATCTAGGAGTTTCTTTTTGGGGAACAATGGACCTGGATAGGGAGCATGGGATACCCCAGTAAACTGTAGAACTGAACAGCTTGAGGTCTCCTCATTTCTCTCAGGATCTCTATGCGGATGGTGACCTGTACTCCTTTCGGAGTCAAAAGCTACACACAGTCACTACTCTTCAGTGCTGGGATCATTTACTTACATAGCCAAAGGATCTTCTTAGTGAAGGAGATGTAGACCCACACCACCATAGGACAGCTGGACATTTTCCCACC